AAGGAACAATATTCCCCAGATGGTACACTTAAGATTAATGGCTATCACGTGACTTTGACGTCAAACAGTTCCAAGCTGGATCAATACTACCACGCTGTGAACAATTGGAAACCCATACCTTATATATTGTATATCCAGGACAGACACACTTTGCCTCAAAGCAGGGTTATTATATTGTAAGCTTGTGCAGCTTGCGAATCAGAGATGTAGTATGATAACTGTTGTTTGTGATTTAGGTCCTTGAACCACTCGACCTCTGTATGGGATAAACCATGATGGAGAGAGATACGACTGTGCAAGCTGGCAGAGACTCATCATCATGCTCTCACTGCTGGGGACACCTTACACAACCGTGCTTGGTGACTCCTACAAATACAAAGAATGTAAACTCGATCTAATAGTTCTGGCATTCATCCTGCTCATCGCGACATATGATTTCCGCAATGCTTATCTCTCAATGTCCTTACTTGTTTTCTCCAATACATTCCTAACTCTTGACTTATTACTCTTAAGATATTGAACCACTTAATATATATATAGAAAGAATAGAAGATCAACTGTAGGGAATTAGACAGGATCATTCGTTCAGAGGGAGACTAATCGGGCAAGGTTTACCGAGAGAACTTGAAATATGTTGATTAAGTACTTCACCTTACCTATCTTAATGCTTTAATACAGTAAAATAATATCAGATTCAAAAACCTTGCAGCCTGACTAGAAAACTAGATTTGATATATTTATAATGTTGAGAACAGTGCAGACCTATAATTAGCAGTGGAGATGGTTTATTTCGGGTGAAAGGAAAGAAAGAGTATTAGGAACGCTAACTCACTAAGCAGAGAATAGTCAACATTTTAAACCCAAGAAAGCAAACAAATTTTGAAGGGAAAGATAAACTTAAAGGAAGTCCCTGGAAGCCATGTTCGCGGTGTCAAAGAATAATCTAACAATGAATGTAGTAATATCTGTGTAGACCGGTCATCAGATGGAAGAAATCGTGTTACTCAATTCCAAGAAACCAAAGAAGGGTAGACAGAAGTTTTAAATTAACACTCGACGTTCTCACAAACCTTGGTACTTTTCTTGCCGTCTTGCCGTGCCCAAAAGTTGCTTTAAGGGGAGCCTGGTCTGTTCTCCGTATAACATTAGCAGTATACATAGGATACATAGTGTCGCTGAGAACTTCAACACCGGCTCACACTGTGCAACAAATTGCGCGTAATTCCAAACAACGTGTAGGTACGGAATCTAACAAAACGCAAAACAGGCAGTTTACCAATGTTGATTAATTATGCTAATGTTAAATGTACAATGTGCAGCGTAGTCGTGTACTCGCGGTGTTTATTATAGAGGCAATATACTGGGGTACAAGCGAGAAGAAGAGTTAATGTTGAGAACGGAGTTGTCCTGCCAGCTAAACAATGAGGGGCAGCTTAGAGTTCTGGGTACTTGGTTCCACCAGTCCCTGCACCCCATTCTGCAGAGCAGTCAATGGGGGGCGAGTATTGAGGTCACGTGACTCGCAGTGGTTGTACTCAGGGAGTTTAGGACCGGTTAATGGGCCGGCTCGAGGAAGTCTAATTGGACCCAGGCCCGGATGTATTCTGAGTGTGCTTAGTGTTGCCATGGTAACGACGTCATATAATGCGTAATGCTGTGCACGTACGCGGGGGGCCAATCCTGGGAGATTATCCAGCTCCGCTCCAATCACATGTTGAGAAAATAGTCACGTGATAGCCAGGTATTCTGGCACGTGCCCAGCTTGAATGGAGCGAGGACTAATATAAGAGCAGTAATTAGCGGAGGGCAATATAACTGAGCATGCAGTTTGGGAAGGGGGACAAGCACGAGACAAAGCAGCCCGTGTAACATTGGGTACTGCAGAGTCACGTGAACAAGCTTGTAGTCTGGAATGTAATGGCTGGGTCGTTAACCGGGGTTAGGGTCACTTAGAGGGCCCGTTTAGACGGAAGTAGTGATCTGAATTACTGGGCCCTTTCCTAACTAAATAGTCAATTTTCGTGGGTTTAATATTTAAATTACACCAGTTATGTTTAGATACAAGTAATACATCAAACAATTAACAAACGGAACAAAAAGAAATTACTCTGCACACATCAAACCAACAACTGATCCTTCTTGACAGTGTATTACTCAGAAACATGTAATAATTCCTTTGTGAGAAGTATAAAAACGCATTTATTTTCAGATATTGAACATTGCAATGATCGGCCACATTTTCAACCAAAACAGCATGATCGGCGCAACAGATACAAAGAAAAGCAGATGACACGTGTTTGATCCGCTAATACCAATTGTCAGGATCGAAATAGTAATGACTGGGATGGCTAGCTGAAGAACGCCACCCAGCAGGCCGTTCAAACAATGAGTCAGAGCAATCAACCCAAATGTAACTTGGGGGAGGAGCAATCAAACCTAAATTAACAGAGAGTCACGGAAATTGTTAGAGTTGGCAAAGCGCGCTGTTGATTACGCGATGGTAATTATAACGGAAATAGGGGTCAAAATTGTGACGGCACAAATAATCGGAGGATAAGTAATTGGGCACGTGACGACCACGTCAACTATTGACGAGATTGGACACAGTTACATACTCGATAGGTAACATTGACATTCCGGTGACACTGGCATTCCAGTGACGTTCCACACAGAAAATAACACATACTTATATTTAATCCAAAATAGCAGTAAAATCAAAATAGCCCTTAAATTATGGGTGCAGAAAAAAATGCCCTGGTTCAGTTAATATACAGTAGCGCTAACCTAGGCTCAAATACACGATACAATTTTAAGAAAAACTTCTCTTTTTTTAAACTGAACCAGAAACCAGCAAGATATACAAAGAAGAAGATAAAACGCAAAAGAGATGACGAGAAGAAGAGATGACGAGAAGAAGAGATGACGAGAAGAAGATATCATGATAATTAAAGGAGAGAAGAGATGACGACTAAAGGAGAGAAGAGATGACGACTAAAGGAGAGAAGAGATGACGACTAAAGGAGAGAAGAGATGACGATTAAAGGAGAGAAGAGATGACGATTAAAGGAGAGAAGAGATGACGACCAAAGGAGAGAAGAGATGACGACCAAAGGAGAGAAGAGATGACGACTAAAGGAGAGAAGAGATGACGATTAAAGGAGAGAAGAGATGACGACTAAAGGAGAGAAGAGATGACGACTAAAGGAAATAAGGGATGGTGATTAAGTTTGCTGGATATGTAGAGGCTAATAATTAGAGAAGAGAGTGTATGTAATTAGCTAGAACGGTCATTGGCTGCATTACTGCCAAGCAGATCCGCTCAGCTGACACATTGTACGAGAGAGTACGTATATGGACTTGTCTTTATACCAAGTACGTCTTTTAAACCTAGTCTGTACATTTTTAACCAAGCATGTACATTTCATGCCATTATAATTACCAAGTATGTATATTGTATATGTTATACCATGACATACTAAGTACACAAACTGGGCGCGAATGTACTCCTCCAACATTGTCATAGAAACAAGCCGCGCGGAAAACAGCTGGTCTAAGATAATTTCAAGTAGAGCACTAATTTGAAGACTCTTTTTATTTTCTACAACAGACACAACAAAACGATCTAAACAAACTTGAACAACGATGATTGACTGAGACAAATTGGTTGTGCAAGCAGAGCAAAAAATTAGTGTAGAAAAAATATAGTCCAAACATAAGATGAAAAATAAGAAGGAAATCACGATGGCTGATTTGCTATAAGCAAATAAAATTGTAAACATTGGCTGTCAGTCAATGAAGTCACTTAGCAATAGCACTTTAGCAAAGTACACATGCACACACGACCACTCCTCTCTCCTCTATACTACTCAAATAATAGACAACTCTATCATTTCACAAAAGATATGTTGCACGTGTGACGTCAGTTCAATTTGCATAGAGACAGACTAAAAATACTGCTGCCAGTAATTTCACGGTTCAAACCGAGTGCCGACCTCTGCAGTACATCAACCGATCAAGAGACTTTTATGGATGAGAAATAAGCTATTATAGCTATATATAATATAGTATTCAAGCTCTTCTAAAAGCTTTTCTATTTAAAATGTCCTTTAAAAAGTTTATCGATCATCTATTTTGGTTATAGTTGGTGTTAGATCTTTAATCATAAGTATCTTTTCCTGGCATTTGTATGGTTAACGATTTAATTTCAAGCACATGTTACCAGTCCTTATAAATTATTCGAGTAAATTTCTGGGATGACTAGATCAAACACTGCTGATTATAAGTTTCATCTTAAAAGTGGTTTTATTTAACACCACTATTTCGTTTTTAGACGTTTAAGTTATACAGCAATTCACTCGTGTCGCCAACATATTATATACCGAACATAAATGCACTATCAAAAAATGATCGGTTTAGAATATCGGGCGACATTACGAGAAAGTACAAAACAGCAAGAGTCAAGACACATATTTACTAGAAGTAATACTCCCTCTCTCCCTCTAGGAGTAATGACGCACGATAGAACCACAAATAACTGCAATAGACTGGTTGATATAGATCGTGGGGGAGCGTGTTACAAAAACTCAAAGAGTCGTGAAAGCTGTTCGGCTTTTTATAGTGCCTGCTATATAGTAATGGGTATAAATGGGTATATTGCTGAAACTATGTCTACATATTTTGTACTAATGGAAGTAGAGCTAACACGGTGGGATAGAACGGTAGCTTTTGACCTGCCGTATATAGCTAAAACGACCTATATTCAATCAAAAATTATGCAATTCCATGTATCATTATAACCGGCAGCAAAAATCGAGACTTTATATTTATTCACCCCGACCAACCAAAAAAGACTCTACTTTTTACAAGACGCTGCCAGTCTTAGAGGGCTGTAATTAGAGACCATACAATAACAAACCAACAAACTGGACGATAATCTGAAAGGAACATGCAAGATAAAAGATTATCAATAAACATGTCAATTCACAAATGTCAGTACAAACCTGTCAGATTTAGTTCTGCGATGTTGGACCCCAGACCCCAAGGTTCCGTTATTAGAACAACACTGGTGACTAGGGGTCGAACCAACGTTCAAACTGCACACCGATCCAGAGGGGGACGCTCCACTTAAACTGGGTGGTAGTGGAGGTAACGGTCTCTTGGTGTGGTCGTGATCCCGGTTAGGCTTCTTCAGGGTTAGGGAAAATGTCCGTTTGAAGTCCAGTCCGGAGCCTGAAGATTTCCGATCGAGCGATTGAGATTTCCGATCCCGCTCCGGGATGTTGAGGGAGTCAACGGAGTTGCGGTCCGGATCAACGGCGCACTTGTTAACGAATACAGAGGACCGTCTCATGATGACCGGGCGATGACAATGTGACTACAGCGAGTTTGTGTAAGGGTGACTACTGACTACAAGAGAACGTGTGACTACAGCTAAAAGACTACTCAACTGGGTGTACACATCGGGAAACAGTACGGTCTCGTAAGCGCTAGCGTTCCATCACACAGCAATTATTTAAAACACACGTGCTACTGTTTGTGACGTCACCACCTATCAGAACCGAGGATTCGGTCACGTTGTTGGCAGGGAGCCAATGAGGGCGCGAGATGGGTGGTTCACGTGACGGAGAGGTTTTCAACACGTTAAGAACGACAGTTGAATTAGTGGCATGATATATATACGCTTTTCTAGTGTCATACTGAGTCAGGAGATTTATCCCTAGAAAGTGTATCCCCATTATATCAACCATTCATTTATCACCAACTTTAACAGACATATCTGTTACTATTTTATCAGTGCCAGTTTTGCTCCTTTCTTGATTTGTGTCCTGGATGGCCCCCAAAAATGGTGCCCTACCGTTTAATATACGTGTTAAACAACGGAAGAAATATTTTTGGCATAAAATATGCGCCAAAAGCTGACAGACTGGCCGCACGCACTATATCCTTATAGCATGACTTTATTCCTGACTTAATGCTCAATACTTAGCAATTGAGAAACACTACAAGGATCAAATATGAGCTGCTATAAAGGGGCATATATATAAAATCTAAACAAAGACTCGAAGCCAAATAGTTATCAGACTAAATTTAAGCTAGCTGTACTCAGTCTAGTTGAACGAAGTGTGATGAGGCTGAAGAAGGTCGGAACTACAACAGCCATGTCCTTGGAACCTGACAAAATCTCAATTATTTAACAATTAGCCCTCTTTCCACCAGACCACACAGTCCACACTGCATGTTGCATTGACCATTCATTCCTCCTTTTAAACCCCGTGTCCGAACACTATGTTTATAATGTCGCGGCAATTTCGTTACAATAAGTTACATATTGTAACGAATAACATGTTTTTCAGAGCTAGTGGTCAAAGGTTCATTGATACGGGTGGTGAACTTTCAGGCTGTGATAGTCTGCGCCGTGCATTGCAGTGTGAAGTAGTGCTGCACTGTTGGAAATGATACTGATAGTTTAAAACGCGTACTCAAGTACTTAGACTGAAGTGAGTTATTCAACTGTGATGTAACGGACACTTGACAGTCAAGTGAATTCAGGGATTCTAGACAAATAGTCTCGGGCGGGAAATATTTCTGCCTATTATATATAATTATATCTGCCTATATATTTTTGCCTATTAGAATATATGTATCTGCCTATATATTTCTGCCTATATATTTCTGCCTATAATATGTTTCTGCCTATATGTTTCTGCATATATATTTCTGCGTATATATTTCTGCCTATATATTTCTGTCTATATATTCCCTGTATATATTTCATATATTCTATATAAACTCTGGACTCTGGTACACTAATCGTTTTCGTACATATATAAAGTGCACTAAATTAAAAGTAAATCTAAATGTAACTTGGTAGGATTCCTGGTGGGCACACAACTTCAATAATTGGCGATGTTAAGGGTAGTGGTGCAGTAGTGGGCCTGCAGCCAGCAACCTTGTCAACTGACGCTAATAATAAAACGGGCGTTGCCAGAACTTTGACAGTGTGCTGGAAATACAGTCGGGTGGCGAATATATATATAATATGTGCGTTAACTTTAAGTAGTATTTAACATTTTGCAATGGATCTAGCTTTGGGAGCAGAAAATGCTGTTAGAAATCTAGCGTTTTCATAAAAGGTACGTATACATATTACATATTACATACTAAATACGTATCTTTAGCTGATAATTCTGAAGAATTTCTTTACTGACGTTTTGAGTGATTAAAACATGGAAACAGCACAATTTCTTCACGAAATACACGGTCAAAAGGTCAAACATTTTATCTGGTTCTGCTTCAAAAAAACGAATTAAACAACTTACATATTTTATACAAGAGTTTAAATCAGACACATCGTGATTTGAGGGGATTGTTAACGTACCTTACTACTAGTAAGGTACGTTAACAATACTAGTTGCGATTCTTTTTCTAGAACAAAACTGGTTTGAACCGATGTGCACATTAAGACACATTTGTGTTATCACAACTGATATACTGTAACTTATTAATTAATTCAAGACAAGAAATCAACGAACAGTAAGTAGAAGTGTGGTAGCTTGAGATCTGAGAGATAGAGAGACAGATCGTTTTAATATCATTGAGTCCCCCTCCCATATATAATAGCTTGACTGAAGGTATAGCCGGTAGTTCGATCATGTCAGACGTCTAAATCGCATGAATCAGAAAAAATACGTGCAAATATGTTCGATGCATTATGTGTACGCAGCTTCAAGGCGATAAACGAGAATTAATTAAATTGTCAGTTAAAAATTGTTATCTAAATTACGATCATATGCAAATGCATTTCAATCAAATAAACTTGCCTGGGTGAAAGAAAGAAGCAGTGATATTTCGGCATAGGATCACGTTGAGACACACGTGTTCAAGATCGTCAAACAACGTTAGTAACCACCACGATTCTCAACAGTGTTCGAAGAAAACCACGTGACAAGCTAAACCTTCCCACGTGTCCCCAGAGAGGAGGTCACGAGTTCTCAGAGAGGAGGTTACGTGCTCTTAGATAGGAGGTCACGTGTTCTCAGAGAGGAGGTCACGAGACCAGAGAACCTCGCACCGTTACGTTCATGTAATTAATTAGCCCGACAAGTAAAAAGTCTCACAGCAGTGAAAGCAGGATTAATGAACGAATAGTGTGACATTGGGTTCTCAACCATGAAAATTTAGAAGTCCCTACATGCTGTTCTTTTTGGCTCCATGTGCTAGTTAGGGGTCTGAGGTATCCGAAAAATCATGTTTTGAGTACCCAAAGTGTTCTGGGTGCCAGGAATGAGGTTATTAAAGCGGCGAAAATGACCGATTTTGGACTGTTTATGAGCTTTTTTGCCCATTTTCATGAGATAAAGAATCAGGAAAGCTGCTCTAGATGATTGAAATGGTTGATACCAATGAGGATACACCCAACACACATAAATATTCGTGATATATGTGATTTTAATGAGAAAAATATAATCTCAGGGCCCATTTCATACCAAAATTTGCCAAAACCACTCGCACTTGTCAAAGCTTCCTCATTTTAGACACATTTAATGATTATTATGGTATCTAACTTATGGTGGATCTGATAGGAGTATGTCTTAGCTTCCTTTTAAGCCATCAATGAGCATGCTGGTGTGTATGAAAGTACTTTAATCCTCCCGTCCATTGATATAGTCTGGGCAGTGGGCCATGCGCGCGCGCGCGCGCGCGCGCGTTTACAAACATGAATTTTCTCCCTCAGTATCTATCTAAAGCTTTTAAAGACATGATTTGAATGCTATCCTACTCAGCACATGAGTGCTACAGGATGGTGAAAGAATTTCTATAAAAAATCATTAAATGTGGAAGATATGAGGTCATTATATGTGTGTGTGCGCGCGCGCGCGCGCGCGCGTTTACAAACTTGATATCCTCAGTCCTTCCACATATACTGAGATTTTGTTTCAAACTTAATTGACTCTGAACCGAAATTGCCAGAGGAAACAGATAGTGTAACTCAGAAAGACCACAAATGGATAGTTTGTGAGATATTGAGGTTATACTCCAAAAAAATTACAATGATGTCACACCAGAAAACCCCTATTTTTGGTATATTTAACCTCATATCTCAAACGCGCAGTACTGGATTGAGCTAAACTTGGTCAGGTTTTGTAGCCCTGACTATCCTCGATCATATGGAACAGGAATAAAACTGTTTAGATGTTATATCTTAATTGTATTAGGCACTTAGTTCTGAAAAGTGAAAATGTCATTAATACTGCTTTCACTGACTAGCTCTCCATCAGCTTGTCTGAATGATGATAAACAACCAATCAGGGACAAGATGTGAAGTCACGTGGTGTTGTCTCGACCAATGGGGTGGCTTGACGGCTGATTGCCTGGTAGTATTGTGAGGTATATCACAGATTGTTCAGAATGATCTCTAAGAAATTTGAAGGTCCCTCGCATGTCATGTCATGAGTATTACACATTACCGCTATGTCAAGCTGCAGATTGCCGGAGGAAGGTGCTTTTTGGGGCTTTGTCACAAGGTGGGTATTAAGAAGTTAAAAGTGTGTGTTGCAATGAACAGCAACAATTCTTCGTCATAATATTCTGTGCTATATCACAAAATGTAGCCCAGAGCATCTGGTCTATGTATGTGATTGTTGCCCCGAGCAGCTGGTCTATGTATGTGATTGTTGCCCAGAGCAGCTGGTCTATGGATGCGATATTACTATTTATTACGTTATAATACTAATAGCTACATAATGATTATATTGCTAATATTATAGGTGACTAGATGGATTCCAACGCAGCTAGATGTTCATTGTTCATTTATAGAAATTATGAAAGTATTTCTATTCAAATACACGGGAGAGATAATTAAGATTAATAAGAGAAAATTAAGTAAACGATAAGATAATAGGAATATAGGTAAATGTATGTAATGTATATATTAAATTAAATACCAGAAAAATAAAAGTAAAGTAAAAGTAAAGCAACGAACATCTTAACTAATAGCGCTAGTAGTAGTAGAATATTTGGTGTCGATTGGCGCGCGCACAACCAACGAAACGAATGCCAGATAGATAATAATACGGAGATATGACACAGTCCATCAAGATATAACAGGGAATGTCGTCCAACAATTAGTTAACTATTGGTGTTCGCTCCGGGCTTTACTAAACAAACGTCACAACAGTCAAAGTTCACCTTTTCACGGGAATTACAGTAACAAAACTTCATATTTTGACGCAAATAACAGCTAACGTTCGGGCTGTCACACAGCACAACTGACAGCCTAATTTATGGCGAGCTTTTTAGACGGGGGTTTCTGGTGGGCAAATATTGTTGGTGAACATTTTAAATTGGGAAAATTCGTAAGATAAAGCCACTCGTCACCTTTTGTTGTGAATTTATTTGATCTCCTGTTTAAACACAATGCAGGTACACGTGAAATGGCTGGTTTTTAGCCCGACATCTTGTGTAAGAAGCG